ATATATATATATATACACACACACACACACACACACAGTATGTCTATCTATCTCTATATATGTACATATATATACATACATATTAGGTATGTGTGTTAGAGGTCTGGGGATGTTACTATGAATATGTATTACTACGCTTATGATGGACATAAATAGATGTCTTATGTAATTCCCATTTTTCCTTTGTATTGTAAATGCCAGATACCTTTGTGTTTTATCTTGCTTGAAGCAATAGAGAGATCTGTAAAACCAGGACACAACTCGTATGCATGCTGCGTCCTGATCCGACTTCTGGTAAGTTGCCACTATATTTAAAATTCATATATGAAATTTCCTTTTTTTTTGCTCTTAATAAGCCATCTCAATTTGTCTGTCTCTTCTGGCTCTCATAGAGAAAAACAGTTGTTCCCTCTTCTGAAGAAAGCAAGCACGAAGGCTTATAAATGGGCAGCAGAAATCATAAGATAACCTAGATCAATCTTCTACTAAAACAGGACTACCTCGAATCTTGGGCTTGATTGACTTACAAAATGAATTTCCAGATGAACTCTGTGGCCTTACCTGTAATCACTTCCTATGAGGGAGAAAACTTTCAGTGTGTCTTAAAGGTCATGTGGCCTTATCTATCCCCAAAACAGTTTGATAGAAAACAAGCTTAAAGGAGCCATAAGCATGAAGCAGGGTTGCTTTAGTGAGAATTAAAAAAACAAAACATTAAATATGCAAATAAATATCCATCTCTGCACAAAGATTTGATCTATTTTACTTCCCGTGGCCTGTTTCCCTGTAGAATCAGCTCCTGTAGCCCCAAACCAGTTTAAAAATGGTTGTTGGCAGTATTATTTTTAACATGAAGATTGGATCATTGGATCATACAAACATCCAATTGTATTTAAAGGATCTTTGAACTTTACCTTTGACCCCTTAGTTATTAAAAATGAGTGCAGGATTTTAATTCAAAATAAAATTGCATATGAAACGCATCTAAAACATTTACATATGTCTCTGTTTATGTTATAAAATATATTTTAATATGAATCAAAGTACAATACACATTATCCCTACCGACCCTCAACAAGACCAGAATTATATAAGCTGAAAATGATACATTGTTGCTAAAGGGTCAAAATGTGTAATTCTTGGAATGTTTTTATAAAACGGTTACATTAAAACTTTTTAATGTCATTGTAACTCCACCTCGCGTATTAAGAAGTCCTACATGAGAACGTCTATATTTCCACTGACTGTAGTCACCAATCAGATTCAACTGTTCACATCCTGCTGTTTATTTAAGACTCTTGGGATCATTCGATTTATTAATACTATGAGATTGCTATGTTAAACATACACAATGGTATTTGGACACTGGTGTAAGGAATGGTCAGCCCTCTGGAAGATCTTCTATCCACCCAACATGCTCTATTCCATGCATGCTCAATGCACTTCCCATAGTCTACAACCTGCATTTGCCACCAAGAACATCTAGGAGGCTAATGAAGATTTTAAACACTTTGCCCAAAATTTTATCAAGCACCAGTTTCTTATTTCAACCCTCTGCTCAATGTTTTGCCAAACACCAGCTCCCTAATGCTATCATTTTTTTGCCACCAGAATTCAATTAACTGCAGCAAAATCAACCGGTACAAGAATTAATTTAGGTGTATGTTTGGGGATCCTTTTTAATACTGATCACAATAGTATCTTATGGCAACAGAAGACTAATTTATGAAAAACGGAGCAAAGAGAAAAGCGGAGCGGTTGCTCATAGTAACCACTCTGATCTCTTGTTGCATTTTCCCACTGAAGTTGAAACCTGATTGGCTGCTATGGAGCAACTTTCTAGGATGCATAAATGTATACATACATGTAACTGTTCTTACTATAATGACATAAGCCATTTGTGATAATTCGTTAACAAGTTATATAAAACTGCAGATAATGATGTAACTAGATAATTAGAAGGACTCTTATGTAAAGTGTATAGTGACACAACCGCAGTGGTAGATGGTATATCCTTTGTGTATGTCCAAGTGTTTCAGTTTTTATTATAAAAGAGATATTATGTCACAGGGTTGTCTCATGTTCATTAGACCCATGGGAAAACTGCATCAAAGATACATTAAACACACTCTCCATTAAAAACATAAAGATAACCCCCTCCCATTAGAGGTAGATGTGCTATGGTACAACAGAAGTTCCACAGCTGAATCTGTCATGACATGAAGCTAGATTGTGGTCTTGCACATCTGACTGATACAAAAAGGAAATCCCTTTTTACTTTTTTTAATTTGTGCTTCCTTTGCTGAGTAAACAGCAGTGAAAAGTCAAAAGCTGAGGCCTATGTCATATAAAAATCTGTATAGCCAGGAGCTATAGCCAGGAGCTTTGGACAAGGGTTGGTACCATGGACACTACTCAAAAATATTCAAAATGGCTGCGCCCACTCTGATGTTTGGTTTGCAATATAACACTTTTCCAGATATAGCCTCATGCTGTTTTATCTGATCAGTAAACAACCCAAAATCAAAGACCCTTTTTTGGTGAGTATTGACCTTACCTTGTTCCCGATTTAAATTCTAAATTTGCACAACTATCTCCACTTTTTCTGAATGAAAATGTACCTGAAGATATTGTTGATTTCAATATGTAAATAGCAGGTCACTTCCAGAAGTAGCCGCATATCCTGCAGGCAAGACTTTCCCTTGTCTCCCACATTACCAGTTCATATTTATTTTACTACAGCTCGTTAAAATGCATGCAAAGATAATACTACAATAAACCAAAATGTGTGAATAGCTATTCATGGCCCATCAGCTGTACAATGCTATAGTACAGTTCAAGAACCAAACTGCTTACTAGGCGGAAACTGGACATAAAGTTTGTATTAGTTCGTACAATGAAATCCTTTTCCTGATTCTTCTCTATGGCATCACTGAACCCAAACATATGTCTTGGATCAGAATCTGAGGCTCACTCGGTAAGGTGAATCTGCAGGTCCCAGAAGATACTGCTGAGTATTGAAATCCACATCTAAGATGTTAATAAAAGAACTAAATAACATGTTGCTGAATGTATTTTAACAATATCCACGGATCATTTCCAACAACTTCAAAGAGATGGAATTGTTTTAAATAAAGGTTTTATAATTGGCATGGTATTTCTTCACAGAGTTCATTTCTTGTCCACTGATTGCCAGATTTTAGCAGCTGCCACTTTAAGCCTATTAAACAACTAATGGAATAAAAGAATTAACTGCACAGTGGTGATGTTACATATTGCAGTGCGTAGGGAGACATTAGCACTTTTTTTTTTATGCTGTTTTTTTAATTGTATAAATATATCAGTTCTGTGTGTAAGCTTTATTGGTCTTTTAAGGATATAGATCAATAAAGACAGATAGACAGATAGATAGATAGATAGATAGATAGATAGATAGATAGATAGATGGATAGATAGATAGAGCGTCTCAGGATTGTCATGCAAACTCCTGGCATATCTCTTATTCTGGCCAGCTTGGCTTGGTCTTACCTGGTTGTTCTTGCAGAGATCAGCCCACATGCTGGTGCCATCCCCACCCCTCATCAAGACATGGTAGGTGAAGAAGTAAATGCCAGGGATGGAGCAGGTAAACTTGCCGGTGGTCGGGTCATAGTGATTACCCAAGTTGGTTACCACATCGTCGAACTTGAGTAACTCATAGCCCTCATGCTGCCTCTTGAGCCCGGCATAGAAGGCGATCTTGGGCACGGTGGTGTAAGTGGCCGCGCTGATGGCACCGGCGGCATTCAAGCCCGGGCTGCCAGGGGGCCCCGGCAACCCCGGTCTTCCCGATTCCCCTTTATCACCCGGTGGCCCCATAGGTCCAGGAGGTCCCGGCTCTCCCGGTGGTCCCCTCGGACCAGCCTTCCCTGGTCGCCCAGATTCCCCTTTGGCTCCTTGGATGAAGGTGGGTAAGGACTGGAGCAGGTTGAGATCCCGCACCGTCTCTGCTGTGGCAGTGCTGGGGGGTTTGGTTCCATAGGGGTCGCAGACCATGCGGCAGGTGCCCAGCATCTCGTAGTGGGCTGAAGTCCCGGCTGAGTTGACCAGAACTGGGATGAGGATGACCAGCAGGAGGACCATGACCACCCCCAGGGCGCCGGCTGCCACCAGCCTCTTCCTGGCCACCAGCCGGCTCAGAGCTGGCCGTTCCTCCTGTCTGCTTTTGGACGAAATCTTGAAGCCTTTCGGGGCACCACCAGCGAACGGGGGGACACCAAGGACCTTGGGGCTGCTCCTGAAGGAACCTCCCGAGCCGCTGTATGCGCGGAGCTCAGGAGCCGTCCGAGGTGCTGAAGAAGCTCTGCCGATGGACGTCCTCGGGATCTGACTCTTGCCAGGTGGCCGCGGTCTCTCTTGTCCAACTTTGTCGTCTCTCCCCTGGGGTGGTCTCGCTTGGCAGGGAGGCAGTCTCTTTCCTCTCGTCCACAGGAAATTCTCCAGGTGGTCTAATTCTTTTTAATGGTCGCGCACTCTGCTCAGCGATCTCTCATTCCTTCTTGTGCTACCAATGAGCTGATATAAGCATCAAAGACAATGCTGGAGATCCCTCTCCCACCTCCAAGAACCTGGAGCCCACGTGTACCCTCACAGCTCAGCGCCTCCCAGCATCCTAATTGGCATCGACTTCTTCTTTTTCTTTTTTTTATGCACACTCTCCCAATTGCAATGAACTTTTCTGCTTTTCTTTCTC